AAAATAATAATAATACATTTTTACTTAGGAGTCACACATTCATCTTCACAGAATCCCTAAAAAAACAAAGATAATTGTAAGCCATAAATTAATAATGAAAAATAAAAAACTGCAATATCATCATTTAATAAGTATTCATCCCCTGTGGTCAATACTTATTAGCTGAAGTATTTTTGGATAAGTCTCCGTTAACTTTGCATACCAAGATGGAACAATATTTGCCCATCCCTCTTAAAACTGCTCAAACTAGATGAGGTCTGTTGCGGAGCGGCCACGGACAGCACGCTTGAAGTCTTGCCACAGATTTTCCATGGGATTAAGGTCAGGGCTCCGACTGGGCCACTCGAGGACACATTTTCTTCATTTGAAGGCGTTGTTGCTGTGGCAGTGTGGAATCATTTTGGATCACCGAGGAGGAAGTTTGTCCTGCAACTGGACAGTTTGAGCATTTTGGCAGAGGGTACCGGGTTTTTCTCCAGGGTTGTGCACCATTCATCTTCCCATCAATCCCAACATGATTGCCAGTCCCTGCCACTGAAAAGCATCCCTGTTACATGACGCTACCACTACCACACTTCACAGTGGGGATGGCGCTACTTAGCTGGTGAGCAGTGATTGATTTACGCCATACATACGGCTCAGCATTCAGGCCAAAAAATTCCACGTTAGTCTTGTCAGACCACAAGACTTTCTGCCACATCTCGGCAGTATCTTCGTTTTGCAGATTCTTTGTAGGCAAAGGTCTGTTTTTTTCAGCCAAGGTGTCTTCTTTGCAATGCCTTGGAGATTGTTGACCCATGTACATTATCTTCCATTGCAGCCACCGACCTCTGTAGCTCATTCAGTGTCACAGTTGGCCTCGCAGTAGATTCTCTGATAAGTGCCCTTCTTGTGTGGCAGCTAGGTTTAGCTTGCACTTCTGTACACTGAACTGCACTGAGCTTCGAGCGATGTTCAGTGCCTTGACAGTGGTCTTGTACCCTTTCCCAGATTTGTGCGTCTCTATAATCATATCGCCGCCTTGTTTAGAATGCTCCTTTGTCTTCATTTTGAGTCTTTGTTTCTCTCAAAGAGAGAGGGATATTTATATTTACAAAAAAGCTGACAGCAGGTGACCCACTAATTTCTTACAAAGGAGGAGCCAGTCAATACATTGTGTGACTTTTGGGGTAATGTATTGCACCTGCTCCAATTACAGCTTGCAATTACAAGGGGTGGGAATGCTTTTTAAATGTAATAATTTCTGTTTTTCTTTTTTAGTACATTTTGGAAAGGTTTTGGAACATTTATTTTGTGGATCAGTTCCCAAAAGTCCTACTTCAGGCTATTTCAAATTCAGAATCTGTAGCTAGAAAATGTGAAAAATATGTTGAGGGCTGAATACTTTTTCAAGGCACTGTAATTAAGTGAATTCTTCATTTGTCTTTATAATTCTTAAGCTAATGAAGCAAGCATTTAAAGAGCTGGTCATGCCAAGACCTTACAGGGTCCTAGATTGGATAGTTCAGTATCTGACAGCAGGAGCTTGCACCATCCAGATGAGAATGCCACGCCCTCTACTCATCAGCATTGGTGTCTGGTCTGGGCTTCACGGAATATTGAATGTGAGGTGTAGATTTACTTCAGGTGGTACATGCATAGTGAATAATTAGGTATCAGATTGTGAAGGTGTTCTTCTAAATCTGAGCCTGGATGAGTGCAGAGGGAGCAGTTTCAATGTTTCCCTTGTGCCTCTCTTCTCAGGGATCACCAAACTGCGCTTCAAGCCAGCCTACAATCCCTACACTGAGCCCAGCATGGAGGTCTTCAGCTACCATGAAGGTAAGAGACTGGGGATGGAGAACATCATAGTTATGCCGTGCCCTACTTGTCGGACGTGATCCCCACTGAACGTCTGTAGGATGAGCCAGGACAGTATTGGGCATCTAGGATTAAGAGACCAGCGAACAGGCACGTGTCTCCAGGCTCTTGTGGAAGAACGTGACCGAATCCCACAGAACAGCATCTGCTGCTCCCTGTAAAGTCTGTATCGCAGGCATGCAGCTTGTGTGGCTTCCAGCAATGGCCAAGAACACAGCTGGACTGTAGCTTTCAGGGCTGATGGCATCTTGATCTTTCTTATTGGTTGTAAAGCGTCTGTATAAGGAAGTTACCAGTGTTGCATCTCTTCAGTAAAATATTAGTGCCCCTTCTGCAAAAACTGCGGAGCGGTGGCTCTGTGGCTCTGTGGCTAAGGATCTGCTCCTGTGGCTGGAAGGTTGCCAGTTCAAATCCCGCAGCCGGCAGAGAAATCCCACTCTGTTGGGCCCCTGAGCAACAGAGCCCCTAAGGCCCTTAACCCCAACTGCTCCAGGGGCGCTGTACAATGGCTGTCCCTGCGCTCTGACCCCAAGCTTCTCTCCCTGCCTGTGTGTCTGTGTGTCTCATGGAGAGCAAGCTCGGGTATGCGAAAAGACACATTCCCAATGCAAGAAATTGTAAAGGGTTTATGAAGTGTTGTTGTTGTTATATCTTGCGATGGGGAGGTGCACATAACAAAACAAGGTTGCAATAAATTTGAGAAGGTTTTAAAATTCAGGAATATCAATGGTGCCTTATAGGGGTAGGTCAGTTGCTTACGAGTTGTTTCAATTCAGTGAATTTTATACATCATATTTATGACGCATGAAATTAAGAGCTTGTATATTTAAGTTAAAGAGGCACAGGAGCAGTTGGTTCAAAAGGCGGAAGGTCCCGGATGAGTGCAGCCATCACCAGCCAGGGCACTAGATGACTTTGCTTGCATGAGGAGAGAGAATGCGCTGTGTCCTGCAGAAGCTTCAGCCCTCTGTCCACTCTGGGGGTTAGTTTCAGGCTAGGGTGGAAACGCCCCGAACCATCAGTTTAAATTGGCAGTGGAGTGCGCAGTGGGCGGAGGTGTTGCCACTCACTTTGTGGGACCTCGGGGAAAATCGTTTGAATCAGTGCGATTAACTTCATGCTCCGTTGGTCTCTTAAATGGTCTAGTTCTCTAGTGTCCCTTCTGGGGCTCCAGCAGGATGATATTTTTGTTGCTCAGGCCCTGTTGTGAAAAGTTTTTTAAAAAAAAGTCTTCGTACTGATTCACACATTGACTAGCGATAAAAAGAGATCACTTACAGCCTTGGTGGAACAGTGGCGTTTCTGTGAGAAACATTCTCACTTCCAGACCCAGATGCATCTCGTTACATCTTCTGATGACATTGCTTAACAGTTTTCTCCAGCCCTGCAACTTTTAAACTGCCTGAGTAATAAGATAAATAACTGTGTTATTTAATCGCGGTTATTTATCCAATTACTGATGTGTGTTTAGGAATGGTACATGAAGGTGTGTTGGGTGCATGCTGTTCATGATTGGTTGTATATTTGTATTGTAAGTCTTTTAATATAGGAGCTCACCCAACCAAATCCCATGCAACTAGTTGGTATTGAATTGTGTATTCTCTCTGACCATGGCCTTCAGAATTGATATGGTAACAGGTTAGGTTTATTTCTGTATGGAGTGACTAGTGATTGGCTGGCCAGACAAGGGACATGAACAGTCTCTAAATTCTTTATATCTTCTTTTGTCTGTTCAGACAGGGGGCTGATCACTGTTGTGAGTGCTGTCTCAGAGGCCTCTGAAATTCAAGTGTATATATACTGAACATCTCTTTTTGGGCATAGGAGAAATTTTTGTCTAATAGGAGGTTACTAACCATTAAATAATCGGGAATCCTTTATACTTTATTGAAATCTGTTAGTGGTTTTAGCACCAAAAGCTGTATCATGAACTAGATTTGGCTCAACAACACAAAAATTGTTTTACAGCAGTTAACAATTAACTAGAAAGCATACTGCATGGGAAGCAGGTACACTAAGGAGATAATTTCCCAATTGATTTGAAGTCAATTATAAACAGAACTGCTTTAAAATACGCAAGAAACATTAGTTCTAACAATATACAGTTAAAATCCATATGAATGAAATGTATTCAGCACCTAAAAGCGATCATAATCAACTGTTAATGTATTTTTATGTAATATATGACTAACACTATAGAAATGTACGTGTATGCAGCACGTGAAAATGGTTATGAACAACAGAATAGACAATTTACAAAAATGGCTTGCGATCTAATTAAGCGTTTAATCCATTGGGTATCAAAGAATCCAAAGGGTGGAAAACGCTTCCCTTTTTAAAAGAGCAGTGTTAACCCTTCACGTCTCCTAGAGCTAGAGGCTTTCTCAATCCCACAGGCTTCAGTGTGTGGTTATACAGCACTGGGCTTCGGGGTGTTGTGCAGGGTTAACTGGTTTCTCTAGAGCACTTTCATTCTGCAAGTAAGATCCCCTTTTTTGGGAACTGTTTCCTTATGGTACAGGTCTCCCTCCAACATAGCCAGTACATTGTGTGAATGTCCCTCTTTTGTCACTGATTTGCTTAGAATCTTTGTATTTAACCTCTAGTACTTTAGAGCTGGTCTGTGGGCTGTCCCTGTTTCCAATCCTCCTGGTTTCAGGGCATTCTGGGATGACTTGGAAATGACTGGCTAAAGACAAAAAGTATGTGAGTCAGCTGGGGCTTTTAAAGCATTTGTCTTTTCCTGGTCTGCTCTGTGATTCTGAAAGGTGGCTTATAAGACGAAGGGCTTTGTTTGCACAGCTGTCTCACAGCAGCGGTCAGGCAGCTCCAGACACTTAATTGTATATCCGTTTAGCAGATCGGAGTGGTAAAAGCTGGTCTCGGCAGGGGCCGGCTTGGGACAGCTCCAGGCCAGATGCTGTTGTGAGCGCGCTTTCTTAACTGGCCTTGCCTGAGTAAGCAGTCCGGAGCTCCTCCCACATCTCGCACCCGGGCCAGCACACATATGGTAACCACAGAGGGTTTCCCCGATGAAGAAAAGAATTGGGCTGGCGTGTTCGTCGCCAGAAGCTTGGTGTTTCTTTTCGTTTGGACGTTAAGCGCTTCAAGCTCCCCCTCGCCTCCTGAGCGCAGTCCTGTGCAGCCTGGTGCCTGATCATCTGATTGCCTCGAGGTGTTACTGAACGGAGGCGCCAGTAACATCACAATAAAACTGGGCCATAACAGGAGTTGATTATGGTCTGCGTTTTAAAGTTGTACTGGAAGTGTCAGTGAACTGAATACATTAGCATGCTTTAGCAAACAGTACTGGTTATTATTGGATTTTTACATTTGAAGTTTGAGGGGGTCAGTATATTACTTTTTTATACTGCTAGCATCCCGGCAGAATTCCACAGGGATTCAGGGTAGCAGTAGATTTTGTCTCCTGTTGAATAAATATGAGAACAAAATTGAGGTCTAAGCCACAACAGATTAGGTATATATCATTAGTAATAGAGTGAACTTCCAGGAGACCAGCAATACAAAGACTTTTGTATAGGGAATTGTCCAGGAAGGAACTGTTAAGAATGAATGTCAGTTGTTTGGCAACCAGAAGGATAGTTTAAGCTTGAATTATTTTAAACACACAAAAAGATTAATTATTAAATCTACCAGGTTATTCAGTTGTCTCAAGGTTACTTACACAGTTTTTCTGCACAGTGTAGCTAACGCTGTCCAGTAACAAACAACAATTAATAGATCTTTAAACAATTATTATTGACTCCCCAAGCTCTTTCTGCCTTGTCTGAGTCTTCATGCTGCTGTTCCCTCTCCTTCCCAGGCCTGAAGAAGTGGGTGGAAGTGGGTAACTCAGGGGTTTTCCGACCAGAGATGCTGCTCCCAATGGGGCTCCCTGAGGGAGTCTCCGTCATTGCTTGGGGCCTGTCGCTGGAAAGGTAAGATACCGGAGTGTGGTTTTCGAATTGGGTAGTTGTCCCAAATCATGTCTTTTCCCACACCACGCTTGAGCGCTTTGGGTTGGAGGCTTCACTATTAACTAATGAAGCCAGAGCTGGTAGAAGAAATGTGCTTGTGGTGTTCAACGGAATTGTAAGAAGCTAGGCGTGGTGCCCTGACATCCCTAATGAAAATCTTTCTTCTGCAGTTACTGCACTTTGTTCATAGTCAGCAGCTAATTGCCAGTTATTTGTCTAATCGTGAGTTGTATATCTGTAGGCAGCACTCTTGGTCAAATTCTTGGTTGTTTGAGATCTTTTCCTATTCGGGAAGACAAACGAGGTTTGCAGCTTGCCAGAGACGCTCTTCAGTAATTCTGCTCAAAAGGGGGGGGGAAGTGCCCATAAATACTGGCTTCTGCAACCCCAGTGTCTGGGCCTTCTCATCAGTAATGGAAAGTTGCTGTATCACACTAAACTGGGGTGTCCAGCCCTCTTTCTGATTTTCACCCCATTTCGGCTCTGAATGAGCGATAGAAGCTATTAACTGAAGAGCTGCACCAATTGAACAGAATCTCTGCTTTGAAGAGACCTTGGACACCTGTAGACACCCTGGTCCTCCAGAACTGGACCAGAGTTGCTTGCAGTCAATGTCATGCTTACAGCCAACAGCTATATACCTGGCAGCCCACTGGAGCTCACCAGGTGTGAGCCTGGTCAGTACCTGGCTGGGAGACTCCTGGGAAAAACTAAGGTTGCTGCTGGAAGAGGTGTTAGTGGGGTCAGCAGGGGGCATCACCCTGCCATCTGTGGGGATCCTAATGCCCCAGTATAGTGACGGGGACACTGTACTATAAAAAAGAGCCATCCATAAAACCAAGGTCCTGACTCTCTGTGGTCATTAAATATCCCTGGGTGTTTCTTGAAAAGAGTAGGGGTGTTACCCTGGTGTCCTGATCAAATTTCCACCCTGGCCTTTACCATTTATGGCCTCCTAATAATCCCCATTTTTTAACTTGCTTCATTACTCTGCTATCCTTCCCACTGATAGCTGATGTGTGGTGAGCGTTCTGGCGCACTATGGCTGCCGTTGCATCATCCAGGTGGGGCTGCACA